ATCGAAACGTTCTACAATTGCTGTTATGTTAAACTTATATTAAAGTTTTTCTTCATTACCCATTCAAGCCGTCTCCAGCCATTATCTATCATACCTACGTTCACAACAGTTGTCTGAAAATAATTATCCTGAAGAATACCTTATGTACACATAGACTAAACGACCAGTTGAGAGACTCTAACTTTCTAGAATTGTCGTCATTTTGTTAAAATTGCTGATCATAGGAAGGCACTCAGTCAGCTACATCCGCCGCCTACCGCATACTCTTAAGAAATAATGGAATGGTTGACTGCCACGCTTACAAAGAAGCTCGCAGCTGAAAGTTTGGTGGGTGTTCAGAGTCAAATCGCGGACTCGAACCTTGGACTTTTCTTTCCGCAACGCGGTACGTTAACCATTAAATCACGCTGAACCCTAGTTCATGGTGGACCAAAATGTTCTTCCCCTAGTCCACAGTGGACCAAAAGTTTCTCACCCTCAATGGTTTCAAAAAGTAAATCAGTGTAAAACAAAATAGATTTGCACATTGGCAAAAATATATATTATTTTACAATGTAAAAACAGTGTAATTATTTATTGAAATGTGTAACGTAGAGTAAACGTGGGTTTAAACAGCCATAAAATGTCGCTATAAAAGCAAGTATACGTAATCTGAGGTTTGTTTTGTTTTATCTGCGCTATTCGTTCTTAATTTTGAGCTATTAGACAGTTGGTCTGTAGCATTTACTCTCAATTATTGGGCTACTCTAATCAAAGAGTGAGATTCGACCATGACGTTTATAATTCACCCACGGCCCCAAAATGTAGAATGTAATTATTTAGCACTAACTGAATGTAAGACATGGATTTCGAATTAACAGTCCAGCACGCTAATCAGCCTCGAAATCTGTAGAAGCAGATAAAAAAAAATAATGTTGCTGATTTTTAAGCTAAGGATATTTCTGTTGAAAATAAAGATACAACGGAACCATAGCCAAAGAAACGGGCTTGAAGAAATTTACTTTTAAAATGTCATATTGTTGTAATATATATTTTCAAAGTTATTATTTAGATATTATCTAGAAGAATCTGCTAAGAATAATGATCTAATGATCGAGAGACTTTGCGAAATATCAAGAAACAACGATAGAGCTACAAATATGAGTAATCACTGTGGAACACTCAGTTAGTGGAGTGTGTGTCAGAGTCATAATGTAGTAGTAAATAAGAAGTTATTGAGTGTTCAGTGAGAGTTATCGCGTCTGTTCTGTTATTCAGTTACATTTATTCAATAGTTGAGTTACTTGTTTGTTTATTTAGCATGCTCAACTATTGAAGCTTATTTCATTTTAAATACAGATGGCAGTGATTTTGATGTGTGAGCAGTGTTGTCACAAACACAACACAGAAGAGAACACGTGAGTACCTACTATAGCAAGACAATCGATGAGGCATTGTACAACTTGTAAAGAGCTAATAAGTGTTGATCGAGCCCTAAGTAATTTTCAACATTACCTATATGAGCAAAAGTTCACACTTCGGATAAATCATGAAGCAATGACGTAACTGGCGAAATTTTGGAATCTAGAAGGCCAGATAGCCAGAAGGCTCCAGAAACTCTAATAGGACAACTTTGACACCATGCATTTCTTTGGACGGAAACATTGAAACGCTAAAGTAATATCCTGAAGCACAAACCAATAAAGCTAAAATACAACAGAGTGTAGTCCAAGATGTGCTAATATTCTACAATTAATGATGAAAACTAATATGGTCCAAAACTCAACCGAAAAATGCTCAGGCAAAAGATACAAGTATTATACCAATTATTCAGTGGATCAAGAATAATGCAGAAATATCTTTATTGTAAGAATTCGTTCCATACAGCCCAAAGACAAAGATCTACTGTATACACTGGGATTTTTTATGCATACAAAAGGGCTTGTCATGATGGAAATGAGAAGATACCAGTGAAAAGAAACAATGACTTCAAATTGTACTTCCAAAGTCTCGATATTCCAAAGTACTTCTATCATCTCTATAACCTTCCAACAGCTTTACTGCCAGGTTGCCAAGTGTATGTAAAGAATTGATGAAAATCGCGTGAACTCTCTCGGGATTTCCCTAAACAAATTTCCATGGAATTTTCACTAAATATCTATTCCCGGATCCTAGGCTTTCAAGGAGAATTCTCGGGAATTTTTTCAAAACTTTTTTCTCTTCGAAAAGTATTTAAAAATATTACTATCCTTTATGATATTCTTACTAGGGTTTAATCATTTTAAAGATATAAATACCAACATACAATAAAAAATGATAGGACGGTCTTTAAAGGAGAACTCGATAATTATTTTTATACAACAAAACATTTTTGAATTGGAAATTGGAAGTTTTGGCTCCAGATGAAACAAAGTGAAGCGAATGTGATTTTAAAACAAAATGGCGAAGCCCGATGTAAATCGTGGCCCTCACTATTGTTATACGTCATTTTATTAAGAAATGTAAGAAATTATTTAAAATTATTCAGAATCTGAAGAGAAAATCCTGACAAAAAAAAAAGAAGAAATTCAGTGGAAATTCCGACGATAGAAGTGAGCATCAAGTTGTTGCTAGATCTAGTGGTTGGGGAATGTAACGTGTAGTGACTGTTTTGAGGCCTGCAGAGAGTAAACAGTTTGGACGATTTGCTAGAGATAATGGTGCCCATTTAGATGTTAGAAACAATAATGAAGTTCATGGTAGAGGACGTGGAAGAAGAGCTTGAAGAAGAATCGGACTTGGACGAAGGAGATCACAAACTAGATCTAGATAAACAGAAGGACGTGGATGAAGGGGGATCACAAACTAGATCTAGATAAACAGAAGGACGTGGCCGAAGGAGATCACAAACTAGATCTAGACAAATAGTAGGACTTGGACGAAGAAGATCACAAACTAGATCTAGATAAACAGAAGGACGTGGCCGAAGGAGATCACAAACTAGATCTAGACAAATGGTAGGACGTGGATGAAGGGGGATCACAAACTAGATCTAGATAA